TCGCTGATAAAGCACCCTGGTGTGGCTGGAAAGTGGTTCTGTGCTGTTTCCCCACCGAAGTGAAGAAGGACATGAAAGGTTGTATGGTGTGGAAAGTGCCTTAGCAATTAAATAAAAGGCTGGTTCATATAAAGGAGCTTGTTTCTATATGGAAAATATGAGCTTTTTCTTTTCTTTTTCTTTCTTTCTTTCTTTCTTTTTTTTTTTTTACATGGACCAGGTGTGGATTAGTTCACTGAACCTTTTACCCAGCCTTATTCCCGCTTGTAATTCTTCTGAGGCATAGTTCAGCCAAGTCAAAGAAACATGTTATTAAAGGTGAGCTGAAAGGCATTTAAAAAATAAACACACTGTTTAAGATCCTAAATCAGTAACAGAATCTATATGCACAGACTTGAAAAGTACAAGAAAATGTGTTTCAATGCCTTTGGGTTCCAGGCTGGATTCTCCTCCTGCCTTCTTTGAACATCTCCCCCAAGTCTTTTTTGGTAGTTGGTGGGACAGGCAGCCCCAAGGCTAACCTTGGCTTGTAGCTTTTTTGTAACTAATGACTTGCCTCCACTGAGGTAGGTGAGACCCCAATCTTACATCTGCGATTCTCATATATTCCTTAAGAAGTTTGAAAAATCTGATACACGTTCTCTTTCATTTTTTCCAGCCCTGTAGCATGGCAGACAGCCAGACTTTTTTTTTTTTTTTTTTTAAGATGGAGTCTTGCTCTGTCACCAGGCTGGAGTACAGTGGCATTATCTCAGCTCACTGCAATCTTCACCTCCTGGGTTCAAGCGATTCTCCTGCCTCAGCCTCCCGAGTAGCTGGGATTACAGTCCCGTGCCACCACACCCAGCTAATTTTTGTATTTTTAGTAGAGGTGGGGTTTCACCATGATGGCCAGGATGGTCTCAATCTCCTGACCTTGAGTTCCACCTGCCTCAGCCTCCCAAAGTGCTGGGATTACAGGCATGTGCCACCATGCCCAGCCAGCTGGCTATTTTTAACAACTTGTAGAGATGGCAGAAATGAGTGTAGAAAGTTTTAGATTTATTTAAGTTCTGTCATCCCTGATTATAATAACAGCAGCCATCATTTCTTTGAGCATTCACTTTGTACCAGACACTATTAAATACTTCTTCTTGTCAGTGCATTTATTCTCCAAAAGCAAATAATGCACTGTAAGCAAGCCCATTTTATGGATAAGAACACTGAGGGACAGAGAGCTTAAGTAACTTGCCTAAGCTCACAAGGTCAGTAAGCACCAGAGCTAAGTTTTGAACTTGGGTACTTGAATCCATGCTTGTAAATTCTGAACTATTCTAGTCTAAAGTATACTGTATAGTACTATATTCTGTAATACTTAGTTTTAGGTGAGGCAGCCCAAGGATGCATTAAGAAGTACACTCGTTCTGTACAACCTCAGCCTTGCCTTTTTAAAAATTATTTCCTAACTTTCAAAACTTGCTTGTTTTTGTTTTTACTTGATAGCCTGTTTTCAGCCAATGAATAGGTAGATATCAATCATTTGCAGCCTGTTTTACTGCTTTTTAAAGAATTATTTTAATGTTTCATTGTGATTGTGCAATTGTATAAAGACATTCCCTTATTTTATTTTATTTTATTATTTTTGAGACAAGGTTTCACTCTGTCACCTGGGCTGGAGTGCAGTGGCACAATCTCAGCTCCCTGCAACCTCTGCCTCCCTGGTTCAAACAATTCTTCCACCTCAGCCTCCTGAGTACCTGGGACTACAGGCAAGCACCACCATGCCCAGCTAAATTTTTTTGTATTTTTTGGTAGAGATGAGGTTTCACCATGTTGGCCAGGCTGGCCTCGAACTCCTGAGCTCAAGTGTGATCAACTGCGTTGGCCTCCCAAAGTGCTGGGTTTACAGGCCTGAGCCACCATGCCTCTCCAATTCCCTCATTTTTAAACAGTGTCTCACTTTATTGCCCAGGCTAGCGTGCGGTAGCACCATACTAGTTCACTGCAGCCTTGAATTCCTGGGCTCAAGCGATTCTCCTGCCTCCCCCTCCTGAATAACTGGCATTACAGGTGTGAGCCACTGAGCCTAGCTTATTCTCTCATTTTTAAAGTAATTTCAAATAGCAGAAGCAGGGAAGGAGAGGCATTTTAGGGGTTGATCCTTCTGGTCTACCTTTAATGAAGTAAGCAACTCCTTCCAAGGGGAGCTTGAAGCCTGAATTCTTCATAGTGAACACAGAACTCTTTTCAGAAACTTAGCTTAAAATAATTATCTATACCTCCACCCTGCTGCCTTATATGATAGAAAAGGAGGTGAGTTCAGCAACAGCTTCCTCTAGCTCAATTTTGATTTACCTTTGTTTCGCTGAAGTCCATATGCTGAGCTTGTTGAACTCATCTGCCTTGTTCAGTCTTTCTTGCTTTAGGAGTGTTAACTTTCTTTTTCGGAAAGCAACAGCATATGCGTACAGCCTTGCCAGGCTTCCATCAAGTGTCCCTTCACCTTTAGCAAGCCCTTGGTGGACTCAGGGGAGCTTTATGGTCATTATTAACATAACAGCCTATAAGTTGGGCTTCTTTCTAGCTAAGGAGCCACGGGGTGGGGGGGCCCGCCTGGTTTTAAATTACGTAGGCTTTTCTAAATGTGTTTCTAATGGGAGCTAGAGAGGTGGTGAGCTTTGGGGAAGCCTATCCTTGGGTCAAAGTTGAATGTAGAAGGGAGCTGGGATCTGCAGATATCAGGGAATTTAGGAAGAGAGGCATGGGAAAGGAAATAGGATGAAAAGGTGCCAGGAAAAGTTGCCTCATCATTTGGCACTTTGGTGGTGGCCAAAAGGTAAGTTTCTACTTTGAGATCACTCTCAGGCCCTGTGGGCGCAGAGCTGCCAAGTTTCTCAGTTGAAGGACTGACCAAGTTGGGATATGGGTAATTCTGGGAGACTGGGTAATTTGAGGGGAAGGATTGTTGGAGGTCTTTCCAGCTATACTGACAATGTACATGGGTACATTCTTAAGTGTAAGTGTGTCCATAATACAATCTAGCTGTAGAACCATTCACGGGCTTCTCTGTGTGCACCAGCGTGCTAGCCATTTTACGTACGACAGTAGGAACAGAGTAGCTGGAATAAGATACAGGAATGTTTTTGTTCAGCTCAGACACTGGTTAGCGTTATTCACTCATTCTGTATTTACTGAAAACCTACCCTGCGTAGCCACTGCTCTGTACTGGGATACAGCAAGCAAGAGGCCTGCACGGTGGCTCATGCCTGTAATCCCAGCGCTTTGGGAGGCGAAGGTAAGATGATCACTTGAGCCCAGGAATTCAACACCAGCCTGGGCAACATAGTGAAACCTTGTCCCTACAAAAAATTTAAAAATTAGCTAGACATGGTGGCACATGCCTCTAGACCCAGCTACTCAGGAGGCTGAGGTAGGGGAATCGCTTGAGTCTAGTAGTTAGTTCCAGGCTGCAGTGAGTCAGAGTAAGACCATGTCTCAAAAAAAAAAAAAAAAAAAGAGGGGGGGGGCGTGCAAATCAGATAAAATCCCTGCCTTCATGGAGTATGTGTTCTGATACTTTTGTCATAAACTGAAATTAATACGACTTATCTGTTGCCTAAACTTTTGCCCAGAACAACCAAACAGAGTCAGTTCAGCTGCACTAGGAACCGCCAAGAGCCAGATGTGGCCATGGGAAGAATATCTTTGAGAGCCTGTCATCTGGCTCCAGCTGTGTTAACCTAGGCCTGGTAGGCAGCCATGAGTTGTGTTTGCCAACTGGTGGCCAGACACTAGTGCAGGCTTAAACAATTAGCAGAATTCCTCATCCGGTGACTGGATTCGCTGTGTGTGTCCTACAGGCGATTGCTGCTGTCCAAACCAGGGGACTCTGTGGGCAGAAACGCCCGGAAGAGAACCAAAAGTTAGCCCCTTGAAAAACCAGTCAAAGTCTCATCGGGGAACACGGAGAGGGACGCAGGAATGGGGGAAGACCAGCAACAGTGAGAAAACAGAAGTAAAGCAGATGTGGCCCTCCACCTGGCAGACCTTAATTCTAACTGAGAACTCTTGCCTGATACAGAGCGTCTGCCTCTAGCATGCCCCTGCACAAAAACAAACAGTAGAGTTTGCCTGTGAAGAAATTTTTTTTTTTTAAGATATTATTTTTTACATTGTTGCCCCTTGGTGAGAAGCATTTATGATGCTTTATTGGTTTCACCCAGACAGAGATTTCCATAAAAAGTATTCATTCCCACCTTTTGGAAGCAATTAGATCCCCACAAACAGGCTATAACTTTCAAATGTCTGTTATATCTGACTTCAAAAATAAGTATATAAGTAAATAAAACGCTTCAGCCTGCCTGCATGTGGAAGATTTTTTTTATAAACTGTAGAGTTGCTGGTTTAATGTACCAGACAAGTCCTGCTAGCACACGGGAAAATAATAGATTCTGATCGTCCATTGTCCAGCATGTTTCTCATACCACAGTAGTTGTTCAGTAAATGTTTGTAAACTGAGCTGAATGAGGAAAAATTCCAGTGAACATGCTGACTTGCAAGAATGGTAATTAAAAATTAGCACAGTTATTTCAAATCATAAGTGGGGGAAACAACCCACCATTTAGTGCCCCCCAAAAGTAAAAGTTCTAATTGGAATAAGCTTAGGATTTTTTTTTTTTTATGTCCACATCTAAAGTCTGATGATAACAGAAAGCACAAGATGGCAGAGATTAAGGTTTTCAGGGAGACTTCTCTTGAGGCTGAACAGATACGTCCATATGAGAACATCTTTATCATGGTGAGGTTCTTGGTGGTTTTTCAAAGAAGTCCCACTCTGAACAGACAACAACGACAACAAAATCACTGAAGTGGGGAAAATTCAAAAGATGCTAGTTTATGTGTCAAAATCAACTTTTGCATTCTAACTGCATTGTGTAAATTTGCTGTGCAGGAAACATAAGTGAAGCCATTTGGTTTTGTGGCATTGGTGTGGGTTGGCTCAGGGGGTGGGGATAAGGTTGAGGCATTGATATAGTAAGAGGAGAGCCAGATGGTTGTATTACACATCTTTTGTGTTCTTGTTTGCTTCTTAAAGCAGTTGCAGAATTTTGCCCTTGGCGATATTTTCTTCGTGCCTGTGTGTTCTGCTATGAATTTACTTTTGTCAGAGTACTTTGAAAGAAAAGCTTTGCTCAGAAAAAAAAAAAAAATTATGTTATAAACTTGTGAAGTCAACAGTGTGTTCATAAAAATATTTTTTAAATGTTAAGAATGTTAGTAAATAGTTGAGAGAATCAGCTTTTCTTTTTTCTTAGTACAGTGATTTCGACCATGTTTCATGTCAATTCAGGGAAAGAATTTTTGCAAAATTATGAATGTGCAGTTGGTGATGGATGGGTGGATGGATGGATGGATGGATGGATGGATGGATGGATGGAGATGGATAGATGAGTAGACAGATACATGGAACAGATACATTGTTATTCCAGTAGGGATGAGGCCTATCTGATTAGAGATTTAACTTTTTCCATTACTTACAGCAAGCCCTCAGGTTGTGGTTAACCTCTTGTGTTTTATCAGCAAGCCTAACTTGGTGGTAAGTTGAGTGAGAGTGGGTTACGGTAGGTTGGTGAGTTTTGGTTGACATTTGTTAGAATTGCTGTTACACCACCATTGAAATTTATATTTATTCCCTACTAAAAGGAAATTCTCTTTTGCAGTCACCAGTGGCAAGGGATATTTAAGATGTTCTAATGCATGTAAGGGCTGATATTTTATCACCAAATGCTTTTAATAAAGAGTTGCTTTGGAGCCATCCCCCCCTCACCCCCACACACACACTGTGGCAGAATGCTTCAGAATAATTTAATGTCCTTTTTACAGTTCCAGTTTATTTTTTTTTTTCCTTTGCTCAAATGAGAGAAGAGCAAATATATAGGATCCTTGGGCGACGGTTTATTCTCCTGTTGTGCACAGATCTCCAGTTTTAGTTGGAACCTGCAGTCCCTGATGAGAAAACAGGAAACTTACAGTCCTAACCTTATTGAAATCTCTGCCGGGTTTAGTCACAAGTCTGAGACGACTCCTTCCAATAATGAAGCCATTGTACGCATCATATCTGATCAGTTCTTGAAATGTTTTAGTAAGTCTATCTTACAACATTATAAGAAGATAATCAGCAGCCTTAGAAGGTCCCCATCTGGACTGTAGAGTTCTTTTACTGAAAGATGTTTTGCCTTTTTGAGATAGCTCTCGCGTTTCATCATCTGTTCCGCCGAGATGAAGTGCATATGAAAAGTCAGTGACTCTGAATCCATCTGTTGTTATTATTTTCCACTGATAATTGGCTTGAACAATGAAATGTCTGTGTCTGCAGCCTTTGAAACTGTACACCCTGTTTATTTTCTGGAGGTCTCGCTGCAACTACACCCCCCCCCATCTTTCCCCCTGCATTTTCTCTCAAGCTTACAGCGAGTGGCGCTTGTGTGAGGATGACATCTTTGACTCTGTGCATCAGTATGTGTCACTCAGCATCTAAAGCTTGCATACGGATTTTTGTCACAATCCCTGTGTCTGTGCCGTTTGCTCCCGAATCCGGCGCTCTTTCAGCAAGGAGCTTAGCTGGGCCACAATGCATGGATCCCTTACCTGGATTGTCGTCTTTATTTCACCGTCCTCATTAAAATATTAATTTAGGGTACAGTATCTAATACTTATGGAATTAGATGCTACCTATAATTGTATAATATATTCAGTTGCGTCCAGGTTTGCATGATACAGAGCATTAATATTGGATTCTACTAACATCACTTCCATTAGCTTACTCAACCAGTATGAGATATAGATGAGCTGGGAAGCATAACTACCCTCAAAACTGCCAAAACAGTCATTAGAAGCTCCATGGGGATGGACAGAGGCTTTCTCACAGTGATATAATGATTAAATTTTGTTCTATGGTTTATTTGCAGCAAGGTTAGATCACTATCGTCTATGGACGTGGGTTATCTAACACCTTATTTGGAAGGTCATTTCAAGGCAAAAAAAGAGTGGACAAAATCAGCACCTTCAGTTTCTGTGGTCACCCCTCTTAGAGAACCTGTGTTTTATTCTCTGGGTCTTTGGGTATCTTTTTATTTTGTTTGTCTTTTCTCCATGCTATGCCATAATATATGTTTGAAATGAGTTTTGTGTTTGTTGGTTTGTTTGTAAATATATTTTAAAACTTTTCAGTGATGATCTGCACCTTTTACAGTAGAACGATTTGGCCAGAAAACAGTTTTGTGTTAATAAATTAAAATTGCTTTTGAAATAGAAAGCTGCCCTATTTCCCTTGGCTAGGATAATCACAGCATTCTCGAAGGCTGTGAAGGATCTGTGACCTATCCTTTTTAGTCCAAATACAGTAATAATATAGATGCATCCTATAGCATAGCCCTGCTGGATTTGGCCCCAGAGTACTGTATGGCATTAGTAAGTAGTAGACGAACATAATCTTATTTATGTTTCAATCGAAATCATTTAATACTGCAAAAGTTATTAAAAAATAATTAAGTTACTAAGACCAACATGTAGCTGGAACGTAGAATGAGAGGTCAGTGTGAGTTGATTCCATAAGCTGAGAAAAGGCAGTGGTGGATTCCTAACACTGGCATGTTTTTCCTCTTGCTTAAATTCCTGGATTGTAAGGACAAATTATGTTGAGGTATGGCATATTTTCTGCCGAAATGGAGAAAATTGTTGACTGTAATTATGTTATTTAATTGAAATTATAAGTGGTTGAGGCCACTCAGTTAAAAGCATCCTTTCTAATATAGGGGTAATGTTTTTAAATGAGTGGTCATGGATTGGTGACATTTGAAAGGCAGGCATTTGGGATATATTTTTGGAAAACTCGAATTATTTTCCTTAAATGATTAGTGAACTAGAGAGTATAGTTAAGTAGCATTTTTTGGCTTATTCTCTTTAATTAGATATGCATGAATGTATTATGTGTGAGTATATATGCACATATATATGTATATGTGTATATTTTTATATGTACACTTTATATACATATATCAAACAGATTATCAAACATCCTTGTAGGTACAGAGTCACAGGTATCCATTTACAACGTGACAAAGCAGAGAAACAAGACGCATATCTCTGACAATTGTGACTAAACAAACTGATTGTTTAAAACTCTCATTGAATGTTAGAGATTGAAATGCAACCCAGAGCAGAACTCCAGGGATGGGTATACTACAAGTTCTTTTTGGAGTAGCTGGAGATACAACAATAGCACTCCCCCCACCACCCCCCACGAGTGAGTTCTTAATTACTAATGAATACAATTCATTTTAATTGTTATTATAGCAACATAACATTTAACTGTCTCCTGTTTAGTGGTGTCCCCTGGAATAGGCAGTGTCTCCTGTCAGAGCGAGGACAGGTAGAAGGCACAGCGGGCGTCTGATTGAGCCAGTTATTCATTTGCTGAGTGTTTGTGTTTATGCAAAGGGGCCTCTTCCTGCATATTTAATCTAGAGTAAGGCAGTGGCTTTTGTTGTGTTTAGCCCACATACCTTCAGTCCTTCCTCACACTGCCGCCAGCCTGGGAGCCCTGAGAGCCAGCAGGCTTCCAAGCGCCTGTAGTTTCTCCCTTACAAACTCTCAACTTTCTTCCGTTGTGTGAAAATTGCCTCTCCCGCCCCAAAGCTTTGCCTCCTCACCATGAACGGGTAAGTGTGTGTGAAGCCAAGGCTGACACTTTTGTTTCATTTTACTAATGTTGAGAGGGTACTTTGCTGCCCTTCTGGGCGCCTCCTGAAAGCAGTCCTGGTTCCTGGGCCGTTGTCAGCTTCTGGCTGCATTGAAATAGACAAGTACAGGTGCCTCTTAGGAAATGTGGCTGAATTTTGGACTCGCAGAGAAAGGCTCGTGAGGACTAGAGGGAATTAAAAAGAAAAGAGAGAGAGAGAGCAGCTTTATTATTCTTTGTCCTAACAAATCCTGTTTTGTAACTATCCTGCAGATAATGCTGCCATTGTTTGCTAAAAAGCCTTCAAACAGTGTGTAAGACTGAACTGTAAGAAAACAGAAACTCTGCCGCTGTATTGTCTATACCCGGGCCAGGGTCCTCCCCGAAGGTCTGTGCCGGAATAGGAAAGGTTTTCTTCTGTGGAAATCGAATCGTCTCTTCATTGATATTAATAGCACACTAGAGATGTTGGCCATGATGCTCAGAGAGGCGGTCGGGAGGGAAGGAAATCTGATCTTGCTGGGGGGAAAATGACAGCCTCTTGGCCCCACGGTGGAGGAGACATCATCCAGGCTCCGTGTGCATAATGGCATCCTGGCTTAACTGTTTGCTCTAGGAATTTTAATCTTGAGCTGTTTGTTTTACTATCTGGGGTCTTGCTATTTTTTGTTCCTGTACTGTCTTTAGAAAGCACCATATTCAGGGGCTAATCCAGTCTTTTTTTAAAGTGAATTTTTAAAAAAAGACTCAGAGAAATTCATGTACTGTACACTTAGATAATTCTGGGGTATGATGGGGGTATTCTGCTTTCTTTATGAGGGTAGAGTGTTATTTCAAAAATAAGTTGCCACAATTAACAAGGGTGAACCATCCAAGGAAGATATGTCCTGTGTGAAGATATTTCAGGGTGTGGGAATTATGTCCAGGCTCTAAAAGAAGGAGTTTTCCTGACCAGTTAACTGTTGCCTCTGTTTGAGTAACTCTTTTCAACAGAAGAGTGTGCTGTTCCCCCGCAGGTTGGAAACTGTGAGAATTTAAATAAAATTTCATCAACCTTATTAAAATATGTAGGGACTTGTGTCTTCTTGGGTGCAAATCAGTCTAGAGACTTAGAAGCATTTATTAACAGTGAGGCTGCTGAAGGTTTTTAATAACAAAATTACAAATACTCTATCTAATTGTAAGTATATGACTTTTATGCTTGGTTTTTAAGGGGAAAAATACTTTTTTTTGAGGCAAAGTAACTCCGTCAGAGCACCTTCTGTGATTAGCGCTATTGTATTCTTAAATTTTGATTGATAGAGATAATAGTTTTCACTTAAAAATACAGACAGGTACTTTAACTTTCCATGACAATAGCTATTTGCATTTCTTTTATCTTTTTGTTTAACATTTGTGGGGGTTGGGATGGATTTGATTATTAACTCTTATTGCACACTAAAGGTGAATCTAAAACAAAGGCTTTGTTAGAGCTTCAAAGGGAAAACAGCAAATATTGTTTTTAGGTTTCAACATTTAAAGGCTGTTAAAGGATACCTATAAAATATTTTCACATGACCACGGCCAGGGTTTTCCTTTTCTGTAGGGTAGGAGAGAGTCATTTTTCCAAATGAGATGGGCCGATGTGGAGTTAGTGGGGGGCTGCCAGTCTGAAGTAATTTCATGGGCAAGCAACAACTGGGGTTTACTGCACCACGTGGCTTCATGTGTAACATTTTAGGTTTTTGCTCTACTAGAATGGACTCCAAAGTTAGGTACTATGATCCGATGAGGGCCCCAGAGGATGAGGAGAAAGGAAGTAAAATGTTACTTGCAGGAATAGGAGGGAGATTTGGAGAATGATGGATTCAAAGTCACACATTTCTTTGATAGAGACAAGTAAAAGAAGTGTAGTGTTTGTGAAGCTGCAAGCCTGGGTAGCGTCCAACTTTGCCTCCGGTCTCAGAGACCCCAACTGCACAGCAGCTTCTTCCTTCCTTTTCTTTCCTGTTTCCTTCCTTTATTCTTTTCCTTTCTTTTTCCCCTGTTTTTCTCTATTTTTTCCTTTCTCCCCTTTTTATTTTCTTCCTTCTTTTCTTTCTTCATTCCCCACCTTCCCCACTTTTTTTCTTTTTTTTTTTTTTTGGCAAATCTGACTCAGTATTTGAAGTCTTAAGGGCATAGAACAAACTTTGAGATTGATTTTGGAGTAGATTTTCTTAAATACGGAAGATAAAGTGACCCTTGTCTTATATTTTTCAATAGTCAAATATATGTCGATGTCCTTGTACTTTCTAAGAAGTCATTGAAAAACAAGACATTAAAGCCCACAGGAGATAAGATTCCCTATTTAAAGAGGCAGCGAATTCTTGGAAATTGGCTTATTTGGACCAGTTTTTGCCAATGAGTACAAGCCGTTTGATTGGAGGATTTGAGGGTGTGGGAAGTTTGAACCATGTTCCTTCCTCAGTTTCCTAATAAGAAAGTGTCCTCTAGCCATAGACCTACTGAACTGCCCGCCTAATCACCACCCAGGGGTTCACTTTGCTCATCTTTGCATCTTTAATAAGACTGGCACACAATAGGTTCTCAGCCAGTATTGGGTAGGCTGAAGGTTGAGATGAACTATGTTGGGCATACTTCAGAGTTGCTTTTGCACAGTTATATAAAATTCAGTATAATGGAGAAATCTTAATGCAGATAATTTATTTTAGCTGTCAAGAAAGGGAAGGGGAAAATACTATAAACGGGAAAAAACGAGCCGATATTGTTCATTTTCAGTTTTGTGAAATGAGATTGCACCTCCACATTTACCTACAACTCAGTTCCAAGCAGGACATACTAGTGGACACTGTGTATTATATGTCACACAGATTAAATTAAGGGCAAAATATACCCATAGAAAGTATGATATTGAAACCCTATAATAATGTGAGGGTTCTTTAGAATAACAGCCCTAATTCGGGAGGAGGGGTGGTTGGGGAGGCAGAGAAAGAGGAATGTACATTTAGTGTCTGACCCTAGAGTTCGCAGTAGAAATTTGTGTCCTGGACATGGTTTTTGTGGTCACTGTGTAGCTTCAGGTAGATGACACTGTTGCAATCAATAGTGAAGAGGCCACGGAACAATTCTAGTGTTCACAGAATCTTAACTGTTGCAGAGAATGACATAAAGGAAAATAAGTAATTTCTGTTTACCGTATCCTTGGCTCACTTTTAAAACCTAAAACCAGTAGGAAACTTAAAAAAGAAAGAGAAAAAGAAAAAAAAAAAAACGCAATTCGTATGGAGACAGCATTTTTTAAAAGAAGACAAGTGGGCTGGAGGGGAATGTATTTCTTTTTTTTTTTTTTTTTTAACCTAAAAGCTTTGCATAATCATTTAATTTTAGTTTTGGTGCTTGTGCTGCCGGTAAGCATACAGGTAAATAGTTGATCTATTTGATAAGTAAAAGTGATTTAAAGAAAATAGCAAATATACTATTGGAAAGGGAAGTTTTATGCTTTGGAAAAAATGAAACGCATATTTTTCTGCTAGTTGTTGGTTTCCAATTCTTCTAAGCTAGTAATGAGGCAGACTCGGGCCCCAGTACTACCCCCTAATTTTCTTGTCTATTATATTGACACATTTCATTTAATTTAGCATGATGGCAAACAGCTGTTGAACTATTAATCTTTTCTCAGCAAAACTAGAAAAATGTCTTTTAGATTACTTTGCTAATGTATACCTTTTCTAAAAATGAAAATCAACAGAAATAAATTAATGAGTGGCCAATCGTACATGTGCACCAAAATTTATGGAACTTCAAAATAGAGAAAGATAGAGATTATATCCTACTGCCAATTTTTTATGTGTAAGTGAAAATTCAATGTAGTCAGTTTTGTATTGTTTTAGTATTTATAAATTGGAGGGTCAGTTGTATGATTTTGTTGTAATTCTTCCCCCAGTATCCCTAGGGGAAAAAAATGATACTTGTAAAATCTGAGGCTGAAGCAGCTTCTATTTTTGGTCTGTGTTCACTTACACACTATACTGTGTGGATAGGTGAGTAGAAAAACAGGTCTGGTGTTTACCTGAAAATATTCTGCAAGTTCAAATGCAGCACTGGAGATAACTTTATTCCAAGTAGGCATTTTCAGCAGTTTTTTTAAAAAATTAAATTTTAATGAGGTCCAGTTGTTTGCCAGGCCTATATGATAGCAAATCTCATCTGCATTGCAAAGTCTAATACTATAGGTCTGACTGCCAAACATGCAAAAATAGACACAACTCAATAGATAAACATATAAATTAGTTTACAGTGCATGTACTGGAGAACATCTCAAGTAAAAAGGAGAGAGAAAAAGGCATTCTTGCTTTGATTTGAGTAGGATCTGCCAAAGTTCACTTGCTTTACATTTAAGATTTGATGAGTGGTAGATGTAGAAATTTCTGTGTGTGCTTTGTATGTACGGAGCTCTGATTTGTGTAGAGTAGGTCTCTGCAGATCTTAGCTCTACCTTGAGGACTTGACCATCTTTGCTCTGTTTTTCTTTCTTATCATCGCTTGCCCTGAAATAGACTTCTCACCACTGGAGAAACCAATCTTGGGGACATATATCAGCAGTAAAGCACACGATTTTCATTTTCAATTTGAATTGTTTTGTGTAAAAACAAAAAGGTTTTGGTCAGGCTGCAAAATAGTAATTTTAAGTCCCAGAGCTAGGGTTTTTCCCCACCCAAATGGTGAACATTTATGGTGAAAACCTCCAATTTCCTCTTACAGTAAACATGAAAATTATGATTTCACTCAGAGCCTGCATCTTTTTCCAATCTTAATGGCAAGAATCTGCATACACTTGCTTGTGGAAATGTCATAAATTGGCCTTGGATCAATTCCTCAAAGATAGTACACACCAAAGTGCCACTTTCAAATTTTTAGCCCTCGTGAAATAAGATTTTACTCTTCTCAATGATGTTTGCCTTTCCACATTCAGGGCTGACAGCAGAGGGATAAGCAGGGATATCTTCCTATAAAATTAAAACCACTTCATTACATATTATTCTGAAGAGTGAACAAAAAGATATGAACATTTTAGTAAAATGATGATATGATTTCGCCACCTTAAAAATTATATGAGCATTTGGTCAATGGATATGGAATGAATCCTGTACCCTCTTAGTAACTTGATCTAAATTAATAAACAAATGTTTTTCTTTTCACTTGTGCCATATGTTGATCCCAGTTACATGGGCAGAAAGAGGCAGCTTGTAATGTTTCTTAAAGGATTAAACACTGTTTTGCATACGGGAGTATGCAGATGCAGGAGTAGATGTGGGGTAAAATGTGTTCCATGGTTTCTTTGTGTTTTAGGAAGCTTGATTTCAATTGTTTGTTTCATGTGACATGAACCTTTTTTATTTAACTTAGTAGCTCCCGTAGATACATGCTAGGAGAAAAACATTCTGTGAACAGCTTTCACTAGCAATTAACTCCCTGCCCCTCCCCAAACTGAAAATGGTGCTGCTTTCATTCATTTTGAAAGGTCCAAAGTGGCAGAAAGCATGTTGTCTACAAGACCTCACTCTCTTCCAAAAGGGAAAAAAATAAGTCTCTGCTTTAATGAAATAAGGGATGTTGTGGATGTTAACCAAACAGAGACACATTCAAGTGGCAGTCTGGTTTCCAAAAACAAAGGCCTACGAGTCACATATTATTCTACGTGAAAATAAATTGATAGACAACAAGATGAGAAAAAGTTGATACACAACATTTGAAATGTTTCACCTTGACTTTTTCCCCCCAAGTCGATTTTGTTGTCTTGAAGAGCTCAAAGGCATATGGTCCAGATAAGCAGAGATTCTTGGGACTTGTTTTTATTAACCCTGAAAGTCATTTGCCATTAAATAGAATTGAGTTCTTTTGTTGTTTCGCTTGTGTCTGTCCTTGGCAGAGGTGGTTGCTACTTCTCTTGACATTCAGATTTTGATGTTCTCTTTTGTTTTCAGGGTAAGACGTGACCTTTTGAGGTGACTATAACTGAAGATTGCTTTACAGAAGCCAAAAAAGGTAAATGCAAATGTGATTAGTGAAGTTATATCCAGGGCTGTGTCTTTTGCCTTCCAGGCATTTTAATTCAGTTGTTTTTTGATCTGTATTTGTCAAATAAACAATGTATTTATTTGTGTGTGAGTACATATGTGGTGTATTTTTGGAAGTCCTAAGAAAAACGGTTGCCCTTAAGAAATGGTCTACAGATTCACATTTTCCCCCCAAATATTATCAAACTCTTCTCTTTTTGTTGAAGCTGAACTTATTTTTATTTTTTAAATTATGTTTTGCTTGTTGACTTGGTAGGTTTAAAGTTAGAAAGGAATATTCACATCACAAAAGTGGTGATTCATAAAATTAACTTGCTGCAAACAAGAGTAACGCATGTCAGTATTGTGTGCTGAAGTGGTGTCATCCGATTGATGTTCATCTGGCGGCTTTATAATCACCTTCTTTCAGAAATTAACAGTCAGGCACCATAGCAACACGCCACATTGGTGTAACTGCTGAGCAGTGTGAGGCACATCCCTATAATGTCAGCACTAGGCTGCCTTGTTCTCTTGACCTTGCTTGAAAATCAAATGAGTACTTGATTTTAAAATTAGAAGTTTTCAGAGAGACTAATGTAGCTTAATGAATTAAAGCCAAGTTTAATGTTTTCAAATTCACTTTTGGGAGGGGGAATGAAAAAGTACTCCAGTTAAAATGGTTATGGATGCTACATATTTACTTGATTTCAGAAGTACCTCTCTGATAAACGCGGTGATCATCTTACACAAGATAATTCTTCCGGTCATTTTAACATCTGATATTTCTCAAGCAGTAGCATCTTCGTTTCATTTAGAATTTTGGCCTTTAATAGTTCCATTTGATTTAGTAGATTTGTGTCTGTTTAAAAACAGGGTACCTGCCCGCATGGTTGAACAAAGCCTTTGCTGAGATTTTACTGAAGTTTATGTATTTGCCAGATACAGACTTCTTGTTGAGTTGTACAGAGTTTTTTTGTGGAACTTTCATAATGTGAAGAATCTTTGATCAGATTTTGATAAATCTCACCTGGAGCTTGGGGGAGTTCTAGAATGCATATATATAAAGGGTATGGATTTGTTTTTGTAGTTACATTCTGGCACATTTAATTTGGGCCAGAAAAATCAGACTTCCATCATTTCACCTTCTATATTGTTTAAATGAAACCTTTGCAGGATCTACCTAATTGTATTTCAAAGAGGACAAACATATGTTTCAGATGTTTCGGCATGGAAGGAATTGATTCCCAACCAGTAATTGGGATTATCAGGTCACAACAAAACACTTCCCTTTGCTGGGGCTCAATTTTCTTTTTCTTTTCTTTTTTTTTTGTTTTTTTTGAGACGGAGTCTCGCTCTGTTGCCCAGGCTGGAGTGCAGTGGCAGGATCTTGGCTCACTGTAACCTGTGCCTCCCAGTTTCAAGTGATTCTCCTGCCCTACCCTCTCAAGTAGCTGGAATTACAGGCGCTCGCCATCACAGCCAGCTAATTTTTGTGTTTTTAGTAGAGACGGGGTTTCACCATGTTGGTCAGGCTGGTCTCAAACTCCTGACCTCGTGATCCGCCCACCTTAGCCTCCCAAAGTGTTGGAATTACAGGCATGAGCCACCACACCTGGTCTGAACTTTCTAATCTTTAAAAGGAAGGCATTAATCTATATCAGGGGTCTGCAAACTTTTTCTGTCAAGGGCCACATAGTAAATATTTTCTATTTGTAGGGGTATTCAGCCTCTGTTGCAGTTACTCAGCAAGGCAGTAATTTGCTGTCTCCTGGTCTCTGTAATCTCACAGAGTGATCTCAATCCAAGATGCTCCTCATGCAAAGTGGTGCCACATGTTTAACTCATCTCCTACTGTCAGCAGAGGTTTCTGGCAAAGCTGAAAATTATGATTAAACAGGCCAGGCATGGTGGCTCATGCCTGTAATCCCTGCACTTTGGGAGGCTGAGGTGGGTGGATCACCTAAGGTCAGGAGTTCAAGACCAGCGTGGCAAAACATGGTGAAACCCCATCTCTACTAAAAATACAAAAATTAGCTGGACGTGGTGGTGGGCTCCTGTAATCCCAGCTACTCAGGAGGCTGAGGCAGGAGAATCGCTTGAACCCAGGAGGTGGAGCTTGCAGTGAACTAAGATTGCACCACTGCACTCCAGCCTGGGAGACAGAAGGAGACTCTGTCTCCCAAAAAAAAAAAAGATTAAACAAAGCTGAAAAAGTGGTAGAAAAGATGAAAATTTAGCCTGAAAGTTGGCTTATCCATACAGCTCCAAATACAACCTTCACTGATGGGTTTTCATTTGTTGTTTGTATTGGTTTTGTATTTTTTGTAATCACCTGTAAGCATGAATTATTTTTCTTCTGACTCAATGTCTTTATAATATCCATTCTTTCACCTATTACCTGAAAATGGAAATACAGTCCCCACACCCCCTAAATTCTGTAATATTATTGAAAGTTAAAAATATCATAGGTCAAGGAAAAATTTGGAAAGAAATGTTTCTAGAAATTTGTGATTGGCATTGCCTGAGAAAGGTGGTCCGTATTACCAAAAAAAAAAGTTTTCTTCATAATCACTATCAAGTGTATGATCTATTATATTATTTAATATCGTGCAAATAAGGCCCTTCCTTGTAAAATTTCTTGATCATAAAAGTATTTTATGTGCTCAGTCTCTATAGTTGTTCTCTACTTTCAGCTTTTTTTGTTGTCTTTGTTTTTGTTCTGTATACATTGTCTTTGTCTGTTCGGTGTTGCTAGAAAGGAATACCTGAGGCTGGGTAATTTATAAAGAAAAAAATTTATTTGGTTCATAATTCTGCAGACTGTACAAGAAACATGCAGCAGCATCTGCTTCTAGTAAGGACCTCAGGAAGCTTCCAGTCATGGCAGAAGGGGAAGTTTGGAAGAGGCGTGTCACATGACAAGAGAAAAAGGAAGCTTGGAGGGAAGGGGAGCCAGGCTCTTTTTAACAACCAGATTTCTCATGAACTAATAGAGCAAGAACTCAGTCATTACTTTGGGGAAGACTCTGAGCCATTCATGAGAGATCTGCCCCCATGACCCAAACACCTTCTATTGGCCGGTCCTCTGACAATTGGGGATCAGATTTCAAGATGAGATTTGGAGGGGATGGATTTCCAAAGTATATCATACATCATCTTCAGTATTCCTATTCCAAGTGAACATTTCATTACTTAACACTTTTTCTTTTACAGTATCCATTCCATCTGTATGTTGATGCTAATTTCAAATTTTGGGGAGAAATAAGTTAGGGTATATAGACTCAAGTAGTATACATAATTTTTACTTTTGAACAAGGTAAAAGATCTTTCAAAGACTAATTTGTATATATCTTGATCTCTTATCTAGAAAGAAATAAAAGGGAAATACACAATTTAAAAAGATGTTTCAAGTGAGTATAGTGGTTAGCATTTCTTCCTGATGAGTAAGCCTTAAATGAGAAGACCTTGCCATCCAGCAATGGACAAAAAAATCAGCATCATCTTTCACACTGCAAGAAGCATGTAGACTTCAGATGCCAGGAGCTTCTCAGTAAATAACACGCCCCAAATTTGAAACTGGGGAATTATTAACAGTCAGTATAGATGCACAGAAATATACCTATAAAGGTACTATGGAAATAACTGATTATATACATAAAAGTAGCCAGGCAAATTCAGAAAACCAGATGAAGCGATTTTGAAAATTTAGATTCTAAGGTCTGAAGAGTCATAAATAACAGTCATCATACTCGGTAGTGATATAACAATTTTCTTCCAACTAGATCTGAGTGCTTTACAAAATGGGTCTGGTTGCTGGCATTCCTAAGAGGTAGCTGGCAATTCTTATAATTCCCACTTTACAGACTGGAAAAATGGTCCCGTTGATGATAAATAGTTTACCTAAGGTCATCCAGAATGTCAAGATGGAAACTAAAGAGAGACGCACTGGTCACAATTATACAGATGTCATTCTATTATGGTTGCCTTGGTTTGGTGATCTAATAAAGGTTTATGTGGCATTTTTCCCTGCCTCCCTTCACCATTGACAATTTACCCTCATGCATTTGCTTAAAATTCAAATCCAATTTGTAAAATTCGTCATCTTATATTCAATTCTGAATGGCATTGAGAGTTGAAGATAATCATCAAGACCATATAGATTACAATTAAAATGGTTATTTTTAAACATTAGGTATCTCCAAGCTTCACATTTTATGTGTTGGTCCAGTTTCTTTTTAAAGTCAAGTTATTTGAGAGAAAATTAAAAAACAATCAAAGGGAAGTATAATCATTGCAATTTCCCCCCGCATCCCTAATTTGAGCTGTTTCATGTTAGATGAAGGAATATAAATGCATCCTTATAGATAACATTCATCGTGTCTTACCTATTATAAATTATTTCTTGGTGAAAAATAAAGCTAAAATGCTCTTCATTTATTTGAAGTATAAGTTCCTTTAAAAGTATATATGTGAGTGATTTGAATACTTACCTAAAGACAACAGCAATTCTGAGCTAAACCCATTCAAAACTACCTTTTTCTAGTAGTTAGCATTTGAATTATGTGACTGTTAGTTAAGGAAGATGTTATGAAGACACTGTAAGCAGTCGTCATTGAGTTACCAGATGACCGTATTGGCTGGAATGTGATCAGTCAATTCAGTTAAGCATTGAAATGCTCCCTGACCGCCCCTGCTCCCCGCACATACATACAGTGTACTCATGCCTGGGTTGTAACAGTCAGGGTAAAGACGAGGCTGGTGTAACAAAGAGATCCAGTGTAAAATGGCTTAAATAAAATAGAAGCCTACTTCTCTCATGAAACAACCTGACCAATGTAGCTTGTCTGGGCAGATTCTTTCTGTCTGTGCTCTCCTCCCTTCGGGCTTTGTCCTTATCATAGGGCTGAAGCTATGTTGTTGCCGCACTGTGGAGATGTCCAAAGCAAGCAATTTTCTTGTAATCAAAAGAGTTAAATGTTGTATACATCC